TCGGTGACGGAAGTAATCCTCGGAAGATCAGGAAACGTAATCGGGATCATATTCCTTGTAGGAATAGGAATAACGGATATGGGCTCAAAGCATAATCCTACAAGGAATAGGAGTGGCGCAGCAGGGACGAGAGACCTAGTCACCAAAGGACTAGGCGAGCATGGTAGCGATGCGTGAGACGTGGCGCACGGACGGGCAGCATGCCTATGCGCGATAGGCATAGGCGAAGGGCGCGGGCGGCGCGCGCATAGCGCGCGAGAAGTGAGGCGGCCGAATGAAGTTGGGGCGCAAGACTTGGAGTATTCTAGAATGGTGTGGAGTGCAAGGCAAGGAATTGGATAGCAAGTCAAGATATTAGGAGATCTACTAGATTTAGGAATTTATGGTAGTAGGATATTTACTAGCCTTAGGATTTAATATTTAATTGTTTTAATAGTTTCCTAGTAAGATTAGCATTAGATGTAGTTGGCATCTATAAATACCCCATGTACCTCATCATATTGAGATATCTTGAATGAAGTATTGAATTGGTGAGCCAATCTTGAGGGGGAACTTTAAGTTCTTAACGATTGATAAAGAAGGCCATTAGTGCGTCTTTACATGCAGTGTCGGAGAGAAGGCCAATAGTGCGTCTTGAAGTCACGGTATCTAGAAGAAGGCCCTGAGTGCGTCTACTAGATACACCTATCGGGGATAAACGAAGGCCGCAGTGCGTCGTTTATTCGCAACCCAGTATAGACAAAAGATCGATCCGTCATCAGCGCGGTTGGTGTGTACGCGGGTGAAGGCCTAGGACTGGCGCAGCAACACACGCGCAAAGAAGCCAGCTGGGACGGGGCGTGCGCATGGGCGCACGAGTGCGACGCGGGCGATGGCGTATACCGCGTAGGCGTAGGAGTGCTGGACGACGAGTACGGGGCGCATGGCGACACGTGCGAGGCACAATGCAGGAACGAGGCGACATGCCGAATCCTCGTAGGAATAGGCAAGGTGCGAATACTAATCCTCGCAGGAATAGGAATAGCAGTTAAGTGCCGGAATGCGCGTGGGAGATCGGTGACGGGAGTAATCCTCGGAAGATCAGGAAACGTAACTGAGAGCCTATTCCTAGTAGGAATAGGAATAGTATATATGGGCTCGAGGCATGGTCCTACAAGGAATAGGAATGGCGCATGTGGGGTGCGA